TCTTGCTCAGGCTGGTCTTGAACTCCTGAGCTCGGACAATCCGCCCACCTGGGCCTCCCAGAGTGCTAGGATTACAGGCGTGAGCCACCGCGCCCGGTTTGTAATTGGGTTTTGAGGCAATGAAATTCTTATTTTAAGAATATGGGAATTTACTGGGAATTTACTCAAGGGTATTCTATAAGGCAAAGTTTCCCAAATTCAACTTATCAATGCTCTATTTTGTACACTCACTTCCTTAAAACAGTGTCTATATATACATATTAGTTTGAACCCTATGAAGCCACAGGTATTTGGTTTTCTCCCCAACAAAAACATCAGTTTCTTAGGGTTCAACTTAATACAATCATTTGAGCTTTAAACAAATAGTAAACTATGATGCTAATGTTCAATTTAGTGATTCTTATTTTTTAAATTCTGATTGGCACTGTGAGCTTGACTGGATTAAGTTAAAAATTTAACATTAGAAGTCAACAACAAATAAGCCGTATCATCTCATGCTGTATATCTTGTTCTTCTCCTGACTCCAGGGCATGATTCTGTTCTAAGGCCAGAGAATCAAAAGGCATTTGTATTTCTACAATTATACAGAATTAATTTATGGTGTGATACTTTAATTTAGCTCTTCTCTTAAGAGCCCAAAGTGGTTTTGAGACACCCCAACATCTTTGTTCAATATAGAACATACAGATAAATTACTTCCACTTTATTTATGGTGGAGAATAGGACACAGAAAGGTTGGATACCTTGCCCAGCAGGCAAAAATTGGTAAGAACTGGGCTCCTTCAAGTGGCCTATCCTCTAATTATCACAACAAACAGCCTTATCTTTTTAAAAAGTAAGATTGAACATCAGTACCTGGTAGTGTGATGTTAGCAAAAATAGGCTGTCCATCAACATTAAGAGATGGCACAAATAATTCGGTTTGGTTAACCAGAAGCCCATCGTATGTCCCTGCATCTCTGAAGAGCCAAAGGTGACCTGTTAAGACAAGCAGAGGCTGTTAAGGAGTCATACTGATCTGAGTCAGGGCACCGATTTTCTGTTTCCCTTGACCTACGTGAAATGCTTCCCTCTCACTCTGCTTAAATATCGTACAAAGCCCTCAAATAACATCATCTCATTCAGTCCTCAGAAGAGAAAAACAGGTCTGAAGAAGGCGAGTGACTTGCTCAAGGCAACAGAGATACTAAGCAAAAGAGCTTGTACTTGAGGCTCTAAGCCCTGCGTCCTTTCTGCTGTGGTGGAAAAGTAAAGCCTAAGTAAAGTATATGACTGCAAATCACACCAAGCACTGCAAACTATAAGGAACAAAGCCACTGACTCCTTAAAGCTGTGCTTCTCAAAAACCAGAAGGTACAAAAACAGCATGTGGAAAGAAGCCAGACAGAAAAGGGTGCATTTTGTATGAACAGGCAAAACTAACCTACGGTGTGAAAATTCAGAAGAGTGGTTGGCTCTGGGAGGGAGAGGATTGAGTGAGGAGTAGGAGGGACTTACTGGGGTAATGGACGTGTTCTAATCTACAACTTGATCTAGGTCTTGCTACAATTGCCAAAACTCATCAAACCCTAAGATCTGTGTAAATTATTCCTAAATTTTAAAAACAAATACATCACATACAAAATAGTGGGAGAAGGAGGCAAACCCTCAAGCCTAAGATTCTGTTTAAGGAGGAAGTGGTCTCAGAATAAATATAGCACTTGTTCCTGGAGCATAAATTTACCTGAATATTTGGTAGGAAAATTTAAGAAATGCAAACTGGTAATTTTTTTTT